ACCGCCGCGCGTTTAAAGCTTAAATCCATAAAAAACATCAGGTTCTTTGCTTATTCTCGCTGACGTGGCTTATCACTCGTGCAAAAAGATGTGGACATTACACAGTGTGGTGGTAAAAGAATGGAAATGGTCATAAAGGGGAGGGTTGACATTTCCACATGTAAGGAATATCTGTAGGCTCGCGACTGAAAATAAAACTGCAGAGGTCAAACAAATGTGTGCCGTCATATTAATGCCGAGGAGTGGGAGTCGTCATGTCGCTGCATTCTTATGAGATCACACACGGCGCTGGCATTTGACCAAACGACGTCCCTTTTCGCAGGCCTTACCGGCCACCCCCCCCCCAGCGCACAACAACAACAACAACAACAACAACACACACCTGGCAGGAGTTCACATACAGTCATCAAAATTAAGCTGCAACAACTTTTTTTTTCCTCCATATCAAAGATTTTTTTCTCCTCCGTGCTCCCACTGAATGGCGCTGATGGGATTATGATGAGTGCGCTGCTTGGACGGGTTCAGGCTCTGAGCGGTCATGGGGAGAAGCTCTAAACCTGTGGCTGTACAGGGAACACAGACAAAACACACAAACACAATCACATTCGAAGCAGACTGATTTATACACAGCAGGACTAAAGCAGTACAGCACCCCTTTGTGCCCGCCCGCACCACCGCGTACCCATCAAGCGCACGCATCAATAACCATACAATGGGAAGCTTGGACCCACTAATCCGAGGAGAACATCACTGTCCCTGTTCGTCACGAAGACGTTCCGCTTCATCGCTTGTGTCTCTTTTTTTTGCTCTGATGCTTTATCTTACTTGAGGAGTGCTAAGTAACTCATATCTGATGGAGGATTTAAAGGTTAGACAGTGATTTTACCTCCTACTCAGTATGTCAAAGACGCCATTGTTCTGTATATTTGAGACCAATATGTTCCCTCGCTTGATTTTTGTATTTAGGGAAATAAATCATTAGGGTTAGCATATGCTGTTGTTTAGTATCATCTACCTCTCTCCCCAATATCTGCTGGTCGGTCTCTTTCCAGTGTCAAAGCCAAAGAACGAAGACAACTACGATTACACTATTAATGATAGATATTACTCTGACGCTGAGTATGGTTATTGCATGTTAACAACTGAGTCTCAAAGCTAGAACTTTGAAGCTGAGGTTGTTAATGTGCCCTGTCAAGAAGACGGTCGGCTGAAGCACTTGAAACCGCATACACTGGTTTGGTTTGAAACTTGCTTTTTCAGGACACAGTTGCACAAAAAAAAGAAAAAATGGAACCCTCAGCAAGCGTGTGCATTCCATGTCAAGTGCCGGGCCTGTCACGCTCACTGGCGGAAGGGGTGTTTAATGCTCACCAAATGTAAGTCTTTTCTAAGATATTCACTATGTGAGAAAGTAGGAGGATACTTATCTTTTGCTGAGGCTTTATTTATAAATGTTTTAATTTTCAGCGCGACCTACAGCTACTTTAACTCTTTATTTATATCTTGCAAACTGAAATGCAATTTGGCTTTCATTGTTTAGCAGTTTAATTTAGACAGTTCCGTTGCTAGCATACTCTTTGTGTTTCATCTGACGGTTCAACCACGCTTTCAGTGCCAGATCTAATCTAAAGGACGATTTCACTAGCTTTCACAGCTGCACATGACAACACGTGACAATCACTAACTTAAGTGACACACACTGCAGGCTAGGCGCTATGCTCTGTTCGCCTCAGACTTACAACTTTTAGATCGTCGTTCATCACTCTACCAGTTTCAACTGTCCTTCAAGGCTCAACCCATTCTCTGCTTGATATTGTTCAGCTCGGCCATTACGCTGGAACAGTTACTTCGCCCATGCTTTTGGTTTACTTTTCAGTATTGTATACAAAGAACGGAGTAAATAGTCCAGTGCTTCAGTAATTACACTTGAACTGATTCCAGCCGTTTAGAGGTCTTATGACTTAAAACTTGCAACCCCTATCAGTGCTTCAATACAAGTGACACTTCAGCAGCACGAAAGTGCCATTCAACTTAAAACTGGAAACTGCATCAAACATTTAAATGCAATAGAAATAACATTTTTTTATCTTTTTACAGTTTGTTTTAAGAAGAAATTTTTGAGCGAAAAAAAATTCAACCTCTTCCGAGTCTGCAATATAATGGCTTTAACCGGTTGTATTGACCAAATGGATTCCTTCATATGCCCAAACTCTAGCCCAACAAGCAGGTTCTCAGTTAGTTTTGAAAATTACATACCCAAGTGGTTCCTGGGATAACATCTCTGTGTCGATGTTAAGTGTCAGTATCCCGATCGCTGGAATTCTCTAGCGTTTATTGCTCACTATTACAGTCGATCGCGAATCGATGCTGGAGGAGCTGGATGAAGGATACTGTTTCTCTCTCTCAGCACTCACACTCCACACAAGCCTCACACAACACAAGCCACAATGCAGCACACACACACCATACCACAAACAGACAACTCAGCACCATAGCCCTGCACTAAGCATCGACCAATCCACACCACACACACAACACACACACCCACACCACACACACACACAACACAACAGACACACACACACACACACCACACACACACACATGCGCACACACACAACCGTCGTCCAGAGCACACGACACCCGCCAAGGAGTGAAACTCGATATCAACCTGACAACCTGTGGATGTGTGCGTCATGGCTAAGCAGAAAAGTTGCATGTTGCGTAAGGTCAACAGAGCCCTGGTGGGCTTTTTTTTACTTTTGTGCCAGTCACGACTATCCCATCGCGGCACACATACACACTGCAGCACACATAGATGTTGACACACAGCTACACACACACACACATCGACAACATTATCCCGTTTCCGGCTCACTTGGTAGTGGCCCAATGGGGGGTCTGCAGAATCTCTGCTACTGGCTGGCAGAACAGGCAACTTCTCAATTACTATTAGCCCAACAGACCACACAAGAACTCGGTATAAACCTTTAGACCTTGCAATGCTCATGACCCAATGTAGCCAGAATACAAAATGTCCAAAGCTTGGCTCCGTTGTTTTCTGGACTAACTGCCTTATAAAACAGGAAAAATGGTATAATATTGAGTAAATCATATATGTTTGGTCCCACTGGAGTGTTAACTGCTCACTGAAGTATACCTCTGTTGCCCAGATAATTTAGTCCTTTTCGGACTCTCCGGTCCATGTTACCTAGAAGGCAAATGGAACTATTAGACAAGAAATGATTTGGGAAAAGGGAATTCAAGAATTTGTTTTGGAAATTTACGCTTCCTGATATCACCTCAGAGACCGGACCTTGCACTACTCTAGGTTTGTTAATGGACCCAAGACCCATATGACACGTCTCGTAACCTACGCTGCCCTTGGGGTCAATAGTAAGATGAAGAAAAGTTGCGTTGATCTACACTGGAAGCTAGAAAGTTCCGTGGGAAAGGAATCGGCAACCTTTGAAGCTGTACTGTAAATACGCCATCTGGCAGGGGTACTTCCTGGGAGTTTAGGTAAGGAAGTAGTTAAATTAGGTATCTGTTTCGCAATTTGTTGTACAGTGTGTGTGTTGGTGTGTGTGTGTGTGTGTGTGTGTTGGTGTGTGGTGTGTGTGTGGGTGGGATTCACAAGTGCTCTTTCAAATTTCAGTCTGCATTTCCAGGCCGTAGTTTAAAGCAGGGCTGAGTGGGAGATCAGCAGGACACATGGTAGATACTGGAGCGGAGCTTCAACTGATAAACGTTAGAAGTCTTGCACCATTTAACCATATCAATCGACATTTCATTTCTCTATCTCCGACTCTTCATAATGACAGTTTAAAGTGTTTTCAGTGCCTCTAAGATTAATCGAACAGAACACAACAACCATTTGCAGTGGCAAGACTCTCAGGGCTCATGTCTGATGTTTCATGTCTCTAACGGAAAATCTTTAATACATTTCAATTGTTTACAGTTCAACTGCTTGTAGGCACAGGCTCTTCCCAGCTGACAGTCAGGAACGTTAGTCGTAGAGACGAGACTGGGTAACTGTATTACAGTGCTACATTAAGTGACGCATTTAATGTTACTGCAAGTCATTAACAATGTGCTATTTTTTAGAACAATAACGGGTCTGTACCGCCTTAACAAAATTACGGATTACCACAGGGGTTACCGAGGACGCAGTGAAACAGCCATTGGTAGGCTGGCAAGGTTAAACAGGAAGGAATAATGTTGCCATGGATACCGGTGCTTTTTGTAATATATTTTGTTTACTTTTTGGTAGATTGGCACGATTAAGACGTAATGCTTGAAATAAGCTCATGAGTGACTTAAAAACACTTATAGACATTTGTTTTATGATGCCATTGGAATGTGAAAGTTGTAATGGGAAAATCTGTTTACTTCGGTTTTGGAAGGTTTACCTTAATCTCGGCCTCCATACAGCTGTGAGTCACAATTTCCACATTACTGGCAGCTCCAACAGGCTGACTGGTGTGACAAGTGAAATCAGGGGGACGAACTATCAGCTGACTAACTTATCGTCAGTATTCCATGCGAGGCACTCAGCGTGGGCAACGCTGTCCCTTTCAGCCTCGTGGCAGGTATTTTTTGCGCTTACGCTGCTTTCGCATCACCATTGCTCAACCTTGGCAACCCGCCAGCCGACACCCACTCCCATGCCCCCACACCCACTGCTTCAGCTACAGTTTCAAGAGAACGCGGCCTTGGAATAGTAACGTTTTAACTTATTCACGAATCTGCTTTTCAAGTGAATGGCTTATTTTGTGCTGCTAATTCGATTATATAGTCAAAACAAATGGAGACAAACATTACCTAATTTAGGAAACAGTGGCATAGAAATTATTTACCCTTCTCATCGATCTGCTTGATAAATTAATTGACTCTGAGCAGTCCCCCACCCACACACCCACACACCCACACACCCACACACACACACACCCACACACCCACACACACACACCCACACACACACACACACACAGACTCACTGTCCTCGCTCTGCTCCGCCGGTGGCTCCAATAGTTTGACGAACTCCACGTTGACATGAATCTCAACTCCCAGAATCAGACTGACTTTCAGCAGCATCAGCTGGAGCTGACGGATACCTGGAGTGAACACACACACAAACACACACATGCACATACTTGATATCCAAAAGTGGACAAAGCAGAGCGACAACTACCTGTACAGCTAAAAAAATAAAATTGTATGAGGTGAGATTTCCATGTTTTCTTTGATTATAAAGCAAGTCTAGGTTCTATATTAATACTGTGAAAGTATCAACGCGCTCAGCCCACAGAGAAATGCACACAGCCTGTGTTACGAAACTGAGCCTTAAAACCAGCCGTCAGGACTTCTGCAACTTTGTGATGTCACAACAAAGCTGTCACCGTTCTCAGCCATGCCGCAAGTCCAGCCCACCTGAACCCACCATCCAACCTTGCAGGATTTGGTTTCTCTGAGCACTTACCTGAAATCTCCTATATCTTTATTCAATCACTCAGAAAACAGTCAGCCAATCAGAGGAGAGGCTTGGAGCCTCCATATCTTCTTATGGATACTTAAACTTCAAATAAAACTCCTGAAAATGTAAAATATGGAACCTTTAATATATGTATACCTCACTGCATAGCACATTAATTCATTAATAACACATTGGGATCATTTTTATGCAAAGGTAACATGAGGCCAAGGATTGCTGAGGCACTAAAATTGAGTTGGGGTCCCGCAGTGACCAAGTGAATACAACTGATAATGGAAACTGTGAAGTTTATGAAACTGGCAAAGAAACTGTACTTAACCTGGATTGGTCACATCATGGTCAACACACGATCTGCTTAATAAGGTCAGTATTGTCGCCAATTCTGATCCAGTACATCCGATCAGTGTATCCATACTGGATCGATTGCATCCTGGCACTAACATGATGTACCATTACACTCTGGTTTTATTAAGGGTAAAACACAAGTTTTAAGTTAATATAGTTTATATACACTATGGCTCAGCAGCTGGTGTATTCAGGTGCTTTCTGGCCAGCCGCTGTGGGAGGAAGACGTGTTTGCACCTAGATGATTGATGACAAGTCAGCAGTGCTCATCTTTGAGAGAAGATATTAATACATGACACGGTTACTAAAACTGGAGAGGAAGACGTGCCAACGGAAACATCCCAACAGGGAGATACAGACTGAAGAAACAAACTGCAGCAAACTAGGCCGCTGGAAAAACTCCTCTCACTGGGTTACAGAGTCACAGATGCGGAAGAGAGAAGAAGAGTTAAAAGTTCAGCTTAAGTTTCCCCAGTCTGTTCTCTCACTTCATGATAGACTTATTCATACACAAAACACCGTAATGGTTTTATGTGTATTTTTATTTCCGGTCCCGACATCAACAATGTCCTACTGTGAGAACAGAGATGCAACACTCACTGATGTGGTCGATGGAGCCGGCGCAGAACTTGCCGTAGAACTTCTTGGCTCCGAGGCCCCTGAGGTCGTGAATGGTGAAGGGCCAGAGGTGGAGCACGTTGTTCCTGGAGAAAGTGTCTCTCTTCTCGATCACCACGACCTTGCAGCCCAGCAGGGCCAGCTCGATGGCTGTTCGCAGACCACAGGGACCCCCGCCGATGATCAGGCACTGAATGGGGTTAAAGAAGTAGAAGTTCAAATATCTCAGTGGTCATAGTCTAACCTCTGACTAATTACAAATCATTCATTCTATAAGTATCACAATAACATAAGAGGGAGTGTAAAGATGAGGACACTTGTATTTATACATTAAATGTGAATTGACAGAACAATAATAAATCAATAGCTGGAAATTAAAAAGAAAACATGACTCTCCTCTATCCACAATAAACTAAAATAAAACAAACTGTAGACTGTGGTGAGACGGCACCAGGAGGATCCTGAAGAACAAAAAAAATAAACTATTCAATCCGTTTCTCTCTATTTTAAGTTCAGCAGCAGCTTTCCAAAGATGAAGTCTGATTGCTGGTTTCAGACTTTGTATAATTTCCAGTTTACTCCTTTACAGTGTAAACTGTAGTATGTCAGTGGGAAACAGGTTAGGTGTGACAGTAGGAAGTCTACAGGAGCTGACTATGATGTTTGTTCTGCTTCTGGACTGAGAGAAAAGAAAAGAAAAGAAAAGGAGAAAACACAGCATCAATATGTGGAAAAGGTAAAAGCTTGATCTGGAAAGTCTCAGTCTCAGTGATTACAGTCAACGTCTAATTTCCCAGTCAGCGTGTGGTTTGCCATTTTACAGTTATGGGGAAAATCCACTGGCAAAACAATTAGCACAGCCATCTGGGAAAGGTCAGTTTAACAGTTAGGAGAGTTAATCACTTTTGGGACTATGATTTGTGCCATCGTCCACGTAACAGAACAGAATACACAGTAAACAAAGTTAGAGAAATTCCCAAATTGACCACTCATCTGCCCTAGATACTGAAAACCACCAAACAGAGCACCCACCCGGCGACAGCACTTTTTCTTCAAATAGAAGTTTTGACAGAAAAAGAAAAAATGTCTGGGATAATAGTTTAGCTGTTATTTTTGGCCAAAGCTCAGCCCAACCCATCTGTGTTAATCTTCCCTCTGCGAGTCTCTGGCCTCTTTCCCCTCCGGACATCTTATCTTTTCCTTCAGATACGAAGACATTCCAGCAGCACTACGCTCAGTGTGCTGCTTTTAATTACTTGGACGTGGTCAGACAATAAAACAGATCAGCACATCAAAAACATGAAATATGATTTACTTGTGTCTGAACTCCCATACTGTCAAGCCTCCCTGTAAGCCATATACGACACAGCTTGACTAACAAACTGTGAAAGTTTCTCCTATAAATAGCTTTAATTCCTTGATTTATAAATTATCCTAATTGAGTTGATTCAAGCTATGTGCTCTAAATCCAGTTAATTTGGCCTCTCAAAGTTAGAATTACTTAGGTCTAATTAATTATTTGCATATAATTACAGAAGTAATCCACTTACGTAATCTATTTTCCAAACAAATCCACACTGGCTAAGGTCCTAATTGGGTATTTTGAACAAATAAAGATGCCTTTTGAAAAAGGCACATGCTGTATGTTCTACTCAATAGAACAACACGTTGTGGATAAATGAGCTGATTCTCTGTGGTAATTAAATCTTTACTGATCACTTTCCTGCAGCCGATTGGAGTTGTGTTAAATTACTGCAAGTGCTGCTGGTCCCGTTGAAAACCAACCAGTGGGGGCATTTTATTTTGAAGGTGTTTGAAGGGAATTCAATGTACTCATGACAGAATTAGCAGAACCTTGTTAGAGGTGCTATTCTTTAATAAAATAAAATAAAATTGGTCTACACAACAAGACATGTATATGTTTGGCACAATTTGGTTAGTGGATATTTTTTAAATCTTTCAAGGAAGAAATGTAGAAAAGGAAACTCTGACACTGAGGTGTTAGATGAGGAGCTGCGGAGGACGGACTCTTCAGGCCTGGTAACATCAGTATTTAAAACGACCTTACCTTGGATGTTAATGGAACAGTACAGAGAAAACAGAAAGCACAGATTAAGTTTGCTGTGCCACTTTCTACAGTGAGGATCATTGTTACAGCGTTCACCGATAGTTTGTGCCTTTGCCAATGTCAAGATGATATTTGGTTTGTTTTCCCATTCATGTATTAACCTATTGTTATCATGATTTGTAGGTTTAAAATAATATTAAATTCCACAGGCACAGGGTGACGAAAGGACGATCTGATGAGATTGCAAAACCCTTATCAGGCCTTTATTACGGCACAACTCCATCATTATCAAAAGGTAAACAACACCTTTTACCTTGCTGTGCTGTGCTGCCCAGCTTTAATGGTTGTAGTTGCTCATGGCTGAACACATTATGAACAACCCCCAACTACCGAAAAACAGCTTAAGACCACCAGCTTCCCCTGCTTCCCCTTCTCTTACCCTGGTGCCCTCGCAGGCTTTATTCTGGCTGTAGACCTTGTGCTGTGCCCTTTTGTCCAGTTTGGTCCACAGAGCCTTGACCTTCCATGTGCTGATTGCCGCCTTCAGTGAGCTGTAGAAGTTGCTGTAGTCCAGAGGATCCAGCTCCAGCTGCCTGCAGAGGATGCTGAAGGCCTGCAGCGTCCCCTTACAGGTGGACGCCTGGACAAAGTTCTCAAAGAGCTGGCTGGCCTGCGCTGTACGTTCATCCTCCGTCTCACCCATCTGCTCTGATGCTCACCGGGGTCCAGTCCCCTCCTCTAACTATCGCTCTCTTCTTCTCCTCTCCTGGTTACTCCTTCCACGCCGTCAGTACTGGACTCCTCCTATGATGTGTGTGCCACCATGCTTGACTGCTTCTGAAAGAAACAAAGATGATTTTAGGAAAAGAAATAAAATCAGTCCTGTACCTGGTGATCAGTCCTGTAACCTGTGACTATAATTCAGGCGCAAAATAACATTAATACCTACCATTACGTTAGATCAAGATGCATTTTCAAGTCTTTGTGTTATTGTGTTTGTAGTTCCTAACTATGGCTTCTCAAACCTGGGATCAGAGCACCATTTGATACCGATGGATAAGCAGACTGGATTTACATTTCCAGCATAATAAATTTCTAGTATAAAAATACATTAGTACAGTAGAGTACAGTTCAAGTTTTTACACAATACCATGACAACTGTAACTCTGCGAGTCATCAGAATTATGGGACATAAAAAGGAGACTGTTGTCTAGGATACACTACAACGGAACCGTAACCACGGAAACAAACATCGAGACAGATCTTGTTAATGTTCTGGAGAATGGGTTGAGACACTTTAGGGCTGCTTCATGAATAAATTAATCAGACACGGGTGCTGGTTTTCAAAAGCTACACTCACAATATTTATAGTAACAATGACTCAGATGACTCCGTGTAAAGTGAAAGGAGTTGTTGCTAGTGATGAAGCCACAGAGAATTATCACCAAACTGCAGTTCCTCTCAGTTCAACAGACGTTTTTGCATCTTTTGCAGCTAATTGTTCTGGTTTTGTTTCGGTCTCACCGCTCTCATCAACCTCATTTCCAGCAGGAGCAGGCAGATGTTTCAGAAAAAGGCTCTATTAAAACGCACAGTACGCTACCTACCCAGAGCCAGATGACAGACGGAGAGTTAGCAAGTAGCTGGCAAACGTAACGCAGCATTTAGCAGCTAAAGTGTCAGATATGTCATCTCAGGAGTTGATGAAAACCTGAGCTTAAGGCTTCAGGAGCTTAAATTTGTCAAGTGGTCAGAAACATGACTCCAAATGAACACTAATATTGCTTCATGTCTGCTGGATGTGTGCTTAGGCTATTTGCTAGCATATTAACTTTATAAAGGCAAATATACAGTGCGTCAGTGTCATGTTTACAGCTTGTTCTGCTTTCATATATTTGAGCTAGTTAATTTAATTTGAAGTATAATGAAACGTGATAAGTAAAATGCTAAAAATGTTCATTTAGTTAAACATTTCATTCTGCATTATTCTCAGTTGTTTACCCCTTTAAACTTAAATCATAAAAACATCAGGTCTTTGCTTATTCTCCTGACGTGCGTTATCCTCTGCAAAAAGATGTGGACATTACACAGTGTGGTGGAAAAAATGAGAAATGGTATAAAGGGGAGGTGACATTCCACATGTAAGGAATATCTGTAGCTCGCACTGAAAATAAACTGCAGAGGTCAACATGTTGCCTCATATAGCCAGAAGTGTCATGTCCTGCATTCTGTATGAGACACACCGCTTTGACCACACGTCCCTTCGCAGGCCTACCCCCCCCCCCCAGCCAACAACAACAACAACAACAACAACCCTGCCGAGTTCAAACAGTCATCAATTAAGCTGCACACACTTTTTTTCCTCCATATCAAAGATATTTTCCTCCTCCGGCTCCACTGAATGCCTGATGGGATTATGACTGAGTGCGCTCTTGGACGGGTTCAGCTGAGCGGTCATGGGAGAAGCTCTAAAAACACTGTGGCTGCAGGAACACAGACAAAACACACAAACACAATCACATGCAAGCAGCTGATTTTACACAGCAGACTACATCCCTTGTGCCCCCCCTCCCCCCATAACCCATAACCCATAACACATGGGGAAGCTGACCCACTATCAGGAGAACATCACTTCCCTGTTCCGTCACGAAGACGTTCCTCATCGCTGGTTTCTTTATTTCTCTGATCTTATCTTACTTGAGGAGTCAAGTAACTCATATCTGATGGAGGATTTAAAGGTTAGAAGTGATATACCTCCACTTTCAGTATGTCAAAGACCCATTGTCTGTATATTGAACCATTGTTCCTTGATTTTTTTAAATAAATCATAGGGTTGATTGCTTTTTTCATCACCTCTCTCCCAAATCTGCTGTCGTCTTTCCAGTGTCAAAGCCAAAGAAGAACAACTACGTAAACTATTAATGTAGATTTACTTGACAGTTGAGTATTTGTGCATGTTAACAACTGAGTCTCAAAGCTAGAAACCTTTGAACTGAGGTGTTAATGTGCCCTGTCAGAAGACGGTGGCGAACACTGTTGAAACCGACACTGTTGGTTGAACTTGCTTCTTTCAGGAACAGTTGCACAAAAAAAAAGAAAATGACCCTCAGCAGCGTGTGCATTCCTGCAGTGCCGCCTGTCCGCTCACTGGCGAAGGGTGTTTAAATGCTCACAAATGTAAAGTCTTTCTAGATATTCACACTTGAGAAGTAGAGGATACTTTATCTTTTCTGAGGCTTTATTTAAATGTTTATTTTCAGCGACCTACACTCTTAAACTCTTATTTATATCTTCAACTGAAATGCAATTGCTTTCATTGTTTACAGTTCAATTGACAGTTCCGTTGCTAGCATATCTTGTGTTTCATCTGACGGTTCAACCGCTTTCAGTGCCATCTAATCAAAGGACATTTCAACTGCTTTCACAGCTCACATGACAACACGTGACACTTACACTACTTACAGTGCACACACTTCAGCTAGCCTATCTCTGTTCGCCTCAACTTCAACTCAAACTTTTATCGTTTTCATCACTCACAGTTCAACTGTCTTCAAGGCTCAAACATCAGCTGATAGTTCAGCTGCTTACGCTGACAGTTCGCCTGCTTTGTTTACTTTCAGTATTTATACAAAAACGGAGTAATATCAAGTGCTTTCAGTAATTACACTTGAACTGATTCCAGCCGTTTAGAGTCTTTGACTAAAACTTCAACCCTATCAGTGCTTCAAATACAAGTGACACTTCAGCAGCAGAAAGTGCCTCAACTAAAACTGGAACTGCATCAAACATTTAACATGCAAAGAAATAACATTTTTACTTGTTTACAGTGTTTTAAGAATATTTGAGCACAAAAAATTCAACCTCTTCCAGTCTGCATATAATGCTTTACCTTGTATTGACCAATGGATTCCTTCTATATCCCAAACTCTACCCAACAACAGGTTCTCAAGTTATTTGAAATTAATACCAAGTGGTTCCTGGATAACATCTCTGTCGATGTTAAGTGTCAGATCCCGATCGCTGGAAGTCTCTCAGCGTTATTCTCACTATTACAGTCATGGAATCAGCTGGAGGAGCTGGGAGAAGGATACTGTTTCTCTCTCTCTCACACTCACACACACACACACACACACACACACACACACACACAGTCCAACAGGAGTGAAACTGAATCACCTGACAACCTGTGGATGTGTGCGTCATGGCAAGAGAAAAGTGCATGCTGCGTAAGTACAACACCTGGTGGGTTTTTTACTTTGTGCCAGTCACATATCCCATCGCGCACACATACACACACACACACATACACACATACACACACACACACACACACCACACTTTCCCTTTCGTGTCTTGAGTGGCCCAATGGGGGTCTCAGATCTCTGCTACCTGGCTGCAGACAGCAACTTCTCAATTACTATTAGCCCCAACAGACACACACAAACTCGTATAACCTTTAGACCTTCAATGCTCATCCAAATGTAGCCAGATACAAAATGTCCAAAGCTTGGCTCCTTGTTTTCTGGACAACTGCCTTAAAACAGGAAATGGTAAAATATTGAGTAAATCAATATGTTTGGCCACTGGAGTGTTAACTGCTCACTGAAGTATACCTGTCCCAGATTATTTATCTTTTCGGATCTCGTCCATGTTCCTGAAGCAAATGGAACTATTAGACAAAATGATTTGGAAAAGGGAAATTCAAAGAATTTGTTTGGAAATACCTTCCTGATATCACCTCAGAGACCGGCCGCACTACTTGTGTTTGGTACCAAAGACCCAATATGATACGTCGTAACCCACGCTGCCCCTGTGGGTCAATAGTAAGATGAAGAAAAGTGTGCGTTGATATACACTGAGCTAGAAGTCCGTGGGAAAGATCGCAACCTTTTGAAGCTGTACTGTATATAACCGCATCTGGCAGGGTACTTTCTGGGAGTCTTGGTACAGGAAGTAGTTAATTAGGTATCTGTTTCCAAATTTGTGTACGTGTGTGTGTGTGTGTGTGTGTGTGTGTGTGTGTGTGTGTGTGTTGGGGAGTCACAGTCTCTTCAAATCAGTCTGCATTTCCAGGCGTGTTTGCAGCTGAGTGGGAGATCAGCACGACACATGGAGATACTGAGCGGAGCGTCAACTGAAACGTAGAAGCTTGCACCATTTACAATCAACGACATTTCAATTTCTCTAATCTCCGACTCTTCAAATGACAGTTAAAGTGTTTTCAGCCTCTAGATATCAACAGACACAACAACCATTTGCAGTGCACAGACTTCAGCCATGTCTGATGTTTCATCTCTAACGGAAATCTTAATTACTTTCATTGTTTACAGTTCAACTGCTTGTAGCACATCTTCCAGCTGACAGTCAGACGTTAGTCGATGCTCATTAAGTGACCATTAACTGTTAACTGACAAGATTAAAATGTGCTATTTAGAAAAGATACGTGTCTGTAACCCCTTAAAAAATACGGATACACAGGGGTTAAAGAGGACGCGTGAACAGCCAGGCTGGCAACGTAAACAGGAAGAATAATGTTGCCATGGATACCGTCTTTTGTATATATTTGTTTACTTTTGGTAGATTGGCACGATTAAATGTATGCTGAAATAGCTATGAGTGACTTAAAAACTTATAGACATTTGTTTATGATGGACATTGAATGGAAAGTTGTGATGGAAAATCTGCTACTGGTTTTTGAAGTACCTTAACGGCCTCCATCAGCTGTGAGTCACATCCACTTCTGCAGCTCCAACAGCTGACTGTGTTGACAAGTGAAATCAGGGGGACGAACTACAGCGACTAACTTATCGTCAGTTTCCATCGGACCACCAGCGTGC